CTTGTAAAATTTTTCGTTTAACATCTTTAAAGAAGGAATATACTGTGTTTTAGAATATGAGTAAAGTCAATACTAAGCGTCATCTAAGTCAGTTTCAGAAATATTCATATGAAACTAATAAACGACTTAGGCAAGTGAACTCATGCAAAATTAGTTCGATTGTTGTAGAGACAAGGCTGCTGAGATTCGGAAATATGAAGTGCATGAACAGACTATTCGTGAAAATGTTTTAGAAAACCGGAGGAACAAAGTAAAGAAAATGATGGAGTATTTACGTGGAAAGACTACACTTCATAAGTCCGGTAAAGTTTTTCAAGTGTAATTAAACTTGATGTAAGGATCCAGAAAGCTGGATCATATAAAGAAGGACGAACCTATTGGCAGAAACAATAATCCTGCACAGATGCAAACGAGTTTATTGGAAAAAGCCTCTGATCAATTTCATTTAGTTTTGAGGCTATTAAATCTAGGCGAAAATAATCTCAAAGAAGCTGATGAATCGGTCAGTTCATTATTATATAATAATATTCTTCACTTTTATTATCTAATCCGATTATTTTGAAAATATTTTGGCCTCTTCACTATCGTTAGCATGCCTTTAGAAAAGTTTTATTCAGATGACTTGCATTCGTCAGTCCATGAGAAATTTTGATGCTGTTCTAAATTATTATCTACAGAGATACCTTATTCCATTTTGTAAATGTGACGCTTTCTATAAATTTATATGGTAACCTATTTCTGCATTATATTATTAAAGGTTTCCTCTTAACGGAAATTTTATTTTGTCCATTTTTAAACATAACAACGTTTAATTAGATCGAATTTCGAGATGTATATTTCAGTAGTTATTCCCACATACCTTTCATCGCTTATATTTCAGTTATTAAAGTTTGGCGATTGCTTCATCCAAGCTGTTCAAAATGTCGTCATTATTAACGATCGTAAACTCTCAAGACCAAGAAAGGAAAGTTTTGAAAAATATAAAAAATGTCACTTCATATTTACAAAAGATTATTTTTCATGTTTTTCCGATAGCTGTGAAACGGTTGAATATCTGCTTATATAAGATACTATTGTCAATGAAGTAATACATCTTTAAAGAATGTATTTTGCGAATGCATGCCTATATACCACTTTTGCGGCTTGACAACTGATATTACATTTAATTAGTATATGTGACACACTTTTCTGCCACGGGAAATGGAAGATGACTAGGCAATCTCGAGAAGTTAAATTTTGACATAATTGATGCTGTTTCAGTGACCTAGTAATTTTTAACATACTTTGAGACATTTATTTATCACCCGTATTTTCATATATCTTCATTTCTTTTTAGATAATCTCTCAAAATCCGAATTCAACACATACCCCCAGAAAAACCTTAAAATTTGTAATTCCACCTCATCCAGTTGAAAAAACCCCTTTAAGTCATTCAACAAAACATTGTGGAAACCTTAGTCCTCATCCAACTGAAGATAAGGTTATTTCTAAAGCAAACGTACCAAATTCTACCTCTCATCAAACACCAGAAAGTGATGATCAGGATGGCTTTTTGAAGGAGGATAAAGATTTCGACGAAAATCCATCTAATCTTGGCAGTACAGATGATGAAGTCTCAAGTTTAATTTTAGATGTCAATAACTCAACACCACAATCAACACCTTGTGAACCTACTGTTTGTGATTCTTTTGATTCGCGGAAGAAAGAAACTGAAGATATTTATGGTTTCATTTTTACGGAAGATAAAGAAATCGACCTCCAAGGTAAAACGACGCCACAGCAACAAACTAATTCTGAGCTTAAACATACAAGAAGTATTCTTAAATCGAGATCACTTTCCCCAAAGACTTATTTTGACAGCACATGTGAGTCCTCTCAGGATAAAATTTATTATACTGTACATGGAACACGTGACAGTGTTGACCTTACTACAGTTCGATTTCAAATCGGTTGTATTTCACCCTCTTTTAGTGGTGATAGCAATTCGAATGATCTTGTAATGAATACATATCCCATACTTTCGGAATCCGAAACTATTGAATCACCTCGCACGACACGAAAAACTGTAAGATTCGCAGACGAAACAAACGATTTTACACAAATTCACCCAACATCTATGGCTCCTCTATTTTCAAATGTTTTTCCCCTGAGAATTTACCGGGATGCTGATGATGTAACATCAATTTTTGATAGTGATACACCATCTTCAATAGAAGAAAGCTCAACAAAAATACCGGAGATAAAATCGTTTTATAATTATGGTAAGCTTTTCGTGGTGTTTAATTGAAAACTTACGCAGTATGTTGCTTAACTTTCATAAGGAACTCGACTTTTTAGAAAACCATTTAAAAAAGGCTATTTCTTGAAAAGATTTTTTACCCCTTAGTAAGAACGCATTGTAATTATAACTTTTTTGAGTTTTCTACTATCTGTGTTACAGACTACTTATCTTAATGAATGGTCATATTTATAAGTCGGTAAGATATTGCAAGCAATATGGACTATCAGCGAGTGCTGGAGAAGTGTTTTGTTGGTGACTTCTAAATTATTCCGTACCCTCAACCTCATATTGTGAGCAGTGTATTCAAGTATTACGAAGTAATAATGACTAAATCATCAGGTAGAAAATTTAGTGGCTCCTAATTTGAAAATTAGATTAGCTCGGGATGTAACTTGACCATGATCCAAAATCACGATAATCCATCCCCGCTCCTGACTAAAAGGACTTAATAAGTCACAGCCGACCTAAAACTTTAAGACATTTTCTTCGAAATAGATTATCATTAAGTGGTGAATTATTGTCTGTTTTTTGTTCCTCAATAAATTGTAAATATATATCGTCACCAAACTCTTGATACTTTTACCCCTCATTCAAATAAGTAGAACAAATAACGGAAAACGTTTATGAATTGTGTATTAGCCCTAAACGAAGTTATCAATGGCTTGAATGCACTTGAATGCAATAGTTAAGTGGGTGTAAGAAATCAAAGTTACGGTAAAAATAGGCAAATGCTATTGCTCATGCATTCAATATCCTTTAAAATGAACAATTAATTTACTGTATCAGAATAGCGTCATGTATCATTTGTCAGCTATACCTATTTTCAACAGACTACTGGGAATCACCCTGATTCAGTTGATGCGAAGTAATTTATACGTCGTGAACATTTGTAGTCAAATGTATTTTTACACACTGACCAATACCGTTGTTTGTGTAAGTCGTCAATATGGCTGTCAGTTAGCTATTTATATCGACCAATTTTTTACTACTTCTTTCTTCAGTATTAAAAATGCTTGTGAAAATACAGATTATTTCACTATGTATGTTGATTTTTGTGGAAAAGTAGATCTTGGGATGTGCTAAAGGATTGTATTTCTGATGTTGCTCAGTGAGAATTCGGTTAAGAGTTGCTTTGAATAAAATTTATGTGATAGTTATTTCTGTAGAAATTATACGAAACTTGTAATTCCCTTGACATAACATCCCAAAACTCTCGTGAATTATTTTTCTATCTTTAACAGGAGATGATGCGCTCTTCCCCTTAATATTATTTATCTGTTTGTGTATAGTAAACTTGTTTCGTCAGCCATTCACTTTTGAAAACAGATTATCACAGTTATCAAGTTTCATCATATTAACATTTTTTATCCATAGATTTATATTGTAATTACTCATTATCAAATAGTACTATTCAGAATAGTTATCACTAATACTGTTATGTGCGCTCTTTCGTCAAGATCCAACAACTTCGGTCAGTTCAAATTTCTTATCAATCAGTATCGGAAAAATGTCAAATCAGCTGTCTAAACCAGGTGATAGAAATTCAACAAATATATATAATACACAAAAGTCACATTATTTGAAGAATGATGATTCGACCAACTGGGAAATAGTATCGAAAAATGAATATATTTCAGAAAATTTCAACGAACAAAAGGACGAGTATTCAACTCTTGACTATGAATTATTAAAATCAAGTGGCAAATTGAACGTTACTTCTAACAATGAAACACATTCTACAACTCCAACAAATTCCAGTCGAATAAATACATCACAAGGCTATGCTGATCTTTTGATTGGTCGACCTAACCTGCACGATGATTTTTTAATCCCTCGGCAACAGTTACTTACAAATGAAGTTTCCTTATTTACTCATCCATTTAATGGGTATAAAAATGAGCACTCAACCACGTTAAGTCCTCAGAATATATATCGATCTAATGCACAATCCAATAACTATAAAATATTCTTATCTGGTCGTCAGAATTATTCACTGTCTGATAAAACTGATACATCTGAAACTAACCGAACACAATTTCTTATGCAGAATCTATCCAGTACTGGCACGCCGAACAATGAACAGACATATGTTACAGTAAGGCAATCAGATACAGCAAACAAAGCTAATATTTTATTACATCAGTATCCAACTGATAGTAATCATATCAATGAAGGTTCTCAAACTCAAAATCAAGATACATATGCACCGGATTACGAGGGGATAGATTTATCTTTCATGAGAAGGAAAATAACAGTAAGTACGAAATTGTTGATTTGGAGTTAAAAAAAACAGATGGAAATTTAATCGATGTATAGAAAACTTGTAGTCATTATCTAATATTTTTAAGTACTCAGCCACTAAATTAAATCAATAGACGCAAGTCAAGAAAGTTTCTAACATTAGGATGATCAAACTCCTCACCATATTTTTTAATGCTGACCATAACATTGTTTATAACAAAAGAATTTATTTAATTCAATATCACTAAGTTTAAATGAAAATATAATGTGCTAGTTCGTTGAGTGAATCTCACAATTTTTGTATGCACACAGTTAACTGAATCCAGTGGAAAAAAAAAACATTTTAATGAACGTTTTATCAGGGCACATGATCTTAAAGCTGATAGACGTTAGTCAGATGAACAGAATGACAATAATAGCATGAAATACTGAAAAATTTGGTAAATTAACAAATCTCAATTTTCAAGTGATCTTCCTACTTATAACTTTGTTATCTAAACCTGTTTAGAATAATTATAGCTTTATTTCTGTTCTCTCATCCATCTAGTTGACAATAGCGTACGATCTGCATGAAGTGACTCACCTCTGAATTTGTCGACGTACAAAATTGGTCTCCATCTTTGTTCGACTCGTCTATTTGTTCATTTAATTATGACAAGAAGCGTAGCTATTCATAAATATATTACTGCTTGCATGAAACTTGTGACACTTGAAAGTATTTATTTAAGCAATTTTATATTAAGGGAAATAAATTCCCTTCAATTTTCTATTGTAGCAAGTAACTATGATATTTATTGACAGCAACTAAATAACACTGATTTCACAGATTCATAGGTCTAAGATCGGATAAAACAAGTTTCACATACATTTATTGTTTACTTAATATCTATTGAGAATACGATATCTACACTTAATCATCTGAATATTGTTTGATAAAAAAATCATCAATATAAATCCCAATAGTGGTTGAAAATATAGCTTTAAATATCCAAATAGTTGAAAAGCTTTAAATTTTTAATAATCATTTTTCTCTGACTAGGCGGCAATACAACGCTAAATTACCTATTGAATGCTTTTTGCCTTATTTGTAAATTTCAAACATAAAATACTGAACAAGCGATCAGAACAAGACCTAAACTATTCTCAAAGTCTTTGAACAATAAATCATAACTATAAAGAAATACTAGTCTGTATGCATAACATAGAAAGAGTTGAACAAGAATTTTGATAATACAATAATTTTTGCATTGAGCCGCTTGTTATATATATAAGAAATGATTCGCAAGCATAATTTCACTGTGATACGCTAGCTGATTAATTTATCCATAAAAGAAAACTGAGAACACTTTTTAAAGCTTTAACTGTTACCAATGCTAACCTCACAGCTTAGAAGTAGAAATTTTTAGATGTAATTATAAATTAGCCTGATGATTATTGTTTCTAAGATTCGATAAGCTTATTGTGCAGTATGTGTACAGTATGGAATATTATATTTTGAAGCAGCATGGCCTTCTTTTCATGCTGATTTTAAAACTAAATTCAAACGATGTGTAGGTGACTTTAAGTGAAGAGCTTAACTAATCAAAAAATAAATCGTAACGAATATACCTTACAGTAGGTGATTATCACTATGTGTGTGTTTCTGTTTTGCTCTGGCTAAATTTTATGCGGAATGTAGGAGAGTATAGAGAAATTATGTTGAAACACTAGAACTATCTACAAAATTATTGCCCTGTAGATTTTATAGTATAAAAGTAATGCATATATAATATAGTTGATAGCTGGAAGAAATTTTAAACAAATATAAATAAGAGTAGAAGAACATTAATTAATTCGGACATGTGGAAAATTGTTTAGCGAAACAAATTCATCCTATTTTTAAATTATCACCCTTAAACGATCAAAATTTGTATCAAGTTAACAGCTGTAATAAAATGATTCACTGTAAATCAATTTTTTTGGTTATTTTTGTATTCTGTTTTTGAATGTATTCTAAAAATTAAATGCTAAATTGTGCTTCCTTGCCATTTCCATAATTATGGATAAATTATTCAAGTGATTAAACGTGCAAATTAATAAATTATTAGGTTAAGAATGAGAAATCTAACTCACTACTTGAATGATAAATATAAGTTATTTGTATGTATACTTGTGTTTGTTTAATTCGGTAAAAGAATAATCATTAAAACTATATTCATGAGAAATGTTTTGTTGAACAAAGTAATTTCTTCAAATATTTTTGTTAAATATCTTTTGCACTCATTGTTCTGACTATTAACTCATTAATCTTCCTCCACCTTGTTTTATTATTACGAATTCTTTATCTAGTTTATAGTATAAAGGTTACTAGTATTACTTTGAAGTTCAAAACATTGAAACATTACTCGTTAATAAATTATGTTTGAATTACACTAATCAAGGACAAGATATAAATTATATGAATTTTTTATTTTAGAAATCTGACTACCATTACAATGTTTCCGTCATATGATTTTTGATGTGTTATTCAAAAGAATTTTTATTTGAATACTTTTTGTATGCTTCTTCTACTACATACATTAATTCTATTTTTGGAATCAAATATTATGTTAACGTGAGCTTTGCAATATCGTTCAAATAAACGTTATCAAGTTTTTGAGAGATTGTACTTTCAGGCTAACATCTAACTTTTAAACTTGATTTTCAAGATATTTTATCATATATTGTACTACGATACGTTTAAACCTGGTAAAAATCTCATCTCTTCTGTCCTTGGCTGTTAGTACCATTTTATTTATCTTAACAACGTGATGGGTTAATTTATTGAACAATCAAGTAATTAAAGTTGAATGATAGACTAAAAGCTGAAAAGCACTTGAACTTTCCGTTGAATGAATTAAGTGTTTGAACTAAAGATTTCAATATTTTTAAATTGGAAAATTTGGTAAGCAAATTATTCAGACTTCTCAATTATTTACGAGCCTTAATAGGCAAAATCACGAAATGATCTTATCCAGACCACCAGTAGAAACCTGTAAGCACTAGACGGCTGTCTTGTCCTTCAATAGAACTTCTCAGCGAAGCACATCCACGATGTTCGCACGTGTGGATCGAACCTAGGGTCTACGGTCTCGTACATGAATGTTTAATCTTTAGATCTCTGATTTGACGTCTGAAGGTGTTAATGTCTTACTTCAATCACTTGCGTAACCTGCTTGTGGTAAATAACTGTCTCCTAATCATCCAATATAGATTTCTTGACTCTCACATAATACTGTCTTTGGGTTGGTGAACAAGTCTCGTATCTCAAGTAGATGATTTTGATGATATTTCGTTTTAAACTGGTAGATTTTATTGTTCTCCTGAATGTCACCAGGACAAATTTCAGGTAGAAACGAGCTATTCGTTATTCCCCTCTTATGAGTGAAAGCTTATCATGTTGTTTCTTACTGATTATGTATCGTTTTCTGCCTAATTATTTTGATTGCCTCTTGATCCCTATATTCGTCCAAGATTTTTCTAACTGTTTGGTGAATTAGGATGATTTTATGCTTATCGATCACCTTACTAAGATGAAAAACATTCTCTGGTTTTATTTGCATTCTCTCAACATTTTCTCAGTTGATGAACGGATGTCTAAAGTTGCCAACGTATATTGATATAAATGAAAATATATCATGGCGTTTGCCAACTAGTTGGTGTTCATCCAGACGAAAATCAAGAGGGTGGCCACTTTATTCAATATGATGTTTCTTTCAGTCGGAACGGTTCGTTTCGTAGGTAATGTTTTAATTTTCTACTTGTCATTTCAATCCTTGGTTTACATAAGATTGATTGAAATGATTTCGTTGGCTTATGCGCGACTTCTATTCCAAGCGCTATTAATAGTAATTGATTATTTTTCTTCATTTTTTGTATCGTGTGTTGCAAATTATTTTAACATTTTTAAATAAAGTTTGAAAATTTCATGGAGAATCTGCTTCTGTGAGTTATATTATTGTGTAACTATGACTTTACACAGTCTAGTGAAGTAGTAGATATTGATTCAAGAGAGCAAACGCTTTTTAAAAAATTCCAGGAGAATAACCCTACTGATCCAATGAAGCGTGATACAGGTTATATTTATCTCTGGAAACATATCACTGAATTTCTCCGCCGTTTCCGTTCCTCATATAAATACAATATATAAGTGACCTTCTTTAATTACCCTTTCTGCATAAATAAATACTTCATACACTGCGAAATTCTTCCATTTTTCATGTTATCTAAATTAAAAAGTTGACTGTTGACAAAAAAATGTTAACATCTTAGATTCACATATTCTTTTTAAAAATGTATATTCGGTGTATTTTACCTAGATTTATTTCCCCATTATCAGGAAGTATATGTAGTTCGTTAGATACGCGAAATCGAAGATGAGATTTCTGCAAGGAACATTTTTCAACCAGGAGAATAAACTTTTCAAACCAATCACGGTACAGTAAACCGTAAAAGCTCTGCATTTAGTATGATCCAACTTCTTATTTGAAAAACTAACACACACACACACACTAAAGATTCGGAATGTCTTAAGTTATACTCATCATAAACTGAGGGTTTATCATCAGCTTTTGCCAGCGATGGTTTGACTATCATTTGATTTATGACTGGAATCTGCAACACCATTGATCAGTTAATGTTGGTTCTATGTTTCGACTAATAAATCTCTGACCAGATTCAGTAGGGTTATGGAAATTGATTTGATTATTTTTAATATTTGTGACCAAATGTGCGATATGTTTATAATCTTGTCACTATTATCATTGTTATAATCAGAAACCAGTCAGTTATATTATCTATTTATTATCCAAACAGTCATTTGTTGTATGTAAATGAAGTTTATGAAGATTTAATTGTTATGTATCTCTGATCAGCGCGATGTATGAACTCAATATTCGATGATAAATAAATATAAATAGAAACCTGACTAATAAATAAGTTCTATTAGCCTATTATTACAGAACTAAGATTAGGGTGAGTTTAAATTCAATGCCTGGAATAAGATGTTCATCATAATATCCACATACAAAAATGCCAGGTAATGAAACATCTTAAGATATTCTTAACAATAAATTTCATCAGTGTACGGACAGAATGTTATCAAGACAACCGAATTAAAATATCTACCAATTACAATCCATTATTTTGAGGTGAAACTTTTACAATTGACAGTTTAATGCTAGTTTACATACTGATTAATTCCATCAATACCGATAATATTAATAGTTTTACTTAAATGAGTCAAGTGAATAAATGCTAACTATGCCTTAATCAGTTTCAATAGTAATTTGGTAATGGTATTATTCCGATCGTGTGATCCGATCGATAAATGTAAGTAGTAGTTTAATAGTTATAACAAACATTTTACATATCCATTCACAATTAACGCGCGTTTAACTTCCATGTGTGACTTTCAATAAATTAGTTTATACACTTTTTGAAACTATTTTTTTAATCAAATAGATTTTCAACACAATGGCATTTAACCTTGAGAATTTTTGTTCTAATGTGTAAATGATTTATTAGTTATGCCTATTGTTTTTTGTTTTTTTTTTGATAACTAGTCAAAATGTAGTTTGTGTTTATACATTAATAATTATTTTAGCTCAGTTTCCGGTTACTATTTCACCATTCTTCTTCATGAAAATCACAAAAATTTTTTTTAGTATCCTTGTTCAGAAAAGAGAATGTGATATACAGATTTTGGAAACTATTATAGATAATTACTACTTTGTTGTTTTTAGTGGCTAATCAAGTGACCAATAGATTAGTACAAATAAGTTCTCATGAAAATGATAATTTGACAACATGCATGTAATAACAACAACAACAACCAATTTTATAATACTTTCTTCTAACAAGATATTTTTCACATATTTCTTAGAGTATTTTGTATAACTCTTGATAAAGTTAGGCAGATAAAATTTTTTTTGTTAGTTAATAGTAAATTGAGTTTAAAATAAGGATCCTTAGATTTTTGGTGAAGAAATGACTGGAAAGAACAATAATCAGTTATTACAAAATCGTAATTAGAGTTTTTCAGATCGACATTCACTATAATTATCTTGACAATGATTCTAACTGAGGCTTGGCGTGATTATTGTTATATATGTCATCTAGCGTGAATATTTTGAAGTAAGAAGGCACTATCAAGAATTTAAGCTTTGTGAAGCATAGAATCACGAAATTTATAAAAACTGTGTTATGAATTGACTGATAGGATAAGGTCTCCAAAATTTTAAATATGCTTGCAGATTTTTTTTTAATGGTTTGCTTACTATCCGGATTCTCTATGAAATTACTTTCTACACACTTATTTTCAATTCACAAAGTGGTTTCATTCTCAACTCTATGTTTATATGTTGTGGATCTATACATTCATCTATTTTTTAAAGCTTTGTCTCACTTCATTTAATTTTTCTGATGGACTAATGCGAACCATAATTTCCGTGTTTTGGCTAGTGAAAGATCTTTTGTAGAGCATAGTGCAAGGTAAAGTAAACATTCTGAGGAAACAAGTAACAATCCTTCCGTTTTCTCTCACGATCATCCAAGATTTGTGTGACTATACCATCATACTCAACAGCCAATTGATGGTATCGAACAGACACATTTACTTAGGTAGCTCCGTGCTGTTGAATTTTAAACCGATATTTAGTGTATATGTATGTAGCGTAGAGACGTTTTCGAATTTGGAATGCAGTAAAATGTTGTTTTATGTAAATCTACGACTTATCATTAGTATATATACATATCAGTTAATATGTCACTAGATTGCTGATTCAACCTTTATAAAGTTAGCTCTGTCACAAACTCAGTGCTTATTTACTTACAAATTTGTTTTCTCCGTAAAACAGTGTGTTCATTAATTCCGTGTTTAAGTTTGTTCCCAGTTTCAATAGTAAAGATCAAATTCGGGAAGTTGTAGTTTTACAATAAATGAAGTAAAAAAAGCTCATCAGATCATGTTGAACCTATAATTTTGTATTGATAAAGTTATTTGTCTACAGCTGTCTATGATTGCCAAAGTTTTGAAAGCGTAGATGACAGAATAAAAATGTAGAGTTTCGTAACTTAATTAATTTATGTGTAAAGTAACTTAAATTTTCTTAAAATGAATTAATAACTTAGAAAAAGTAGCAATTTTTCGCTTGTTAACTTAATAAATGAAGAAGCATTATAAAAAACATCTAGCTCACTATCTAATTACCTGGTAGAGATTAGTGACTCTATCTTTTACGTCATCCGAAGTCATAAAAATAATCAAATATCATTAAGAAATAGTTCAATTGACATTTACTGACTTGAAGCTTCCAAATGTTTACTAGTTTAAGCTCTTATCTCTTCGGTGAATATAGGGATCATTTTTCTATTATATTAATAGCTCTTTCCAATGTTGAATACATCCATGAACAAAATAGCTCTTATCTTGTCTTTAGCAATACTCGCGACATTTACTCAATGCATTAATTATTTCAATATATTTTCTGTACTGATGATAGTTCAAAGTTCGTCTGTAAAACACCTTGTCAAATAACAAATATCTTACACTAAACAGACATTAAATGTCAGTAGCTTTAAATAGTCAGGTTTGCCTTTATAAAGGATGATAATTATTTGTTGTTAGCTAGACAGTTTGAAAAAATACACAGGAATCTATTAAATTCATGTTCAGAAATGCAAACATGTTTGGGATGCGGTTCTCTGCCTCGAAATGCAAAATAATGCTTCAGGATTGGCTTGTATCGGCACCTGAACTAGTAATAGGGAGTGAAGTAGTTAAGAGTGTTGACTACTTCACTTATCTTGGGAGTTTAATCAGTGCTGATGGGTTGGTGACTGACGAAACTTCAGCACGGATAAAGAAAGCTCGATTGGCCTTTGTCAACTTGCGTCATTTATGGCGTAGGCGAGATATCCGTCTGCTAACCAAAGGACGGATATACTGAGCGGCAGTTCGCTCCGCCCTAATATACGGGTGTAAAACATGACCAGTAAGAGTACAGGATATTAGAAGGCTATTAGTGTTGGATCATAGGTGTTTTCGAAGCCATCGAGTAAGCACCGCTCTCGTTAGGAAAATGGTACTGGATAAGAACGTTAGATCAGTCGGTGAAGTAGTGAAAATTCATCACTTAAGGTGGATGAAACATGTTTTAGGAATCCCCAATCATCGACTGCCTTGGCGAGTGATGATGCCTAGTGTATGAGTAGGCTGAAGGAAAGCTAAGGGCTGCCAAAATAAAATATGCTACAAATCCATGAAATGACCGACAAATGAACTGACCCATGTTGGTAGGTATACACTACTTGAGTGGGGCCGGCGAGACGGTAATAACCGATGGTTAGATATTTTGAACGACATGGTTTACAATCGTTTGCGATGGTGCAGCTGCATTCATTCTTAGCCTTCTCTCAAATTCTATCCATGACTACTTTTTATCTTCTTTTTTTAAGTTGATTCTGTTGAGATCTACTTCTTGAAGCATATGTCATAGATGAAACAGATCAAAGAGTTCAATAATTTGTTTCAGTAGTTTGAAAATTCATGTAAACAAACAAATTAGTTATTAGCAAGAACTGAAAGTGAAAAGTAGACAGCGCTTAAAGGTAACATAATATTATTCCTATTACTTTGGACCAATGGCACTCAGGGATATTTAATACCGCGACTGAAAATCAGAATATACTCGGTAATAGTTTATTCTTATGCTAAAGTTTCTTAGTAAGAATCAAAGATAAAATCTTTAACTAACGATTTTATTTCTAATGGATGATTTCTTCAACTTTATTTGTTATCTCATCGCTTTTCATATCGTCCTAAACTATTTGACTGATTCATCAAATAACCTAAAGTGTTAAATAGTAGGCAGTAACTACCAAAGACAAATGGGTGAGGTCGCGCAAAATCCCTAGATCAATCAGAGTTAGACATTAACACCGATAGATGCCGGCCCAGTGGTCCGATGGTAAGGCGTTCGCCTACAATGCCAAAGGTCCCGGGTTCGAATCCTGCGAGGAGCAGGAGTCGTGGATGCGCACTGCTGAGGAGTCCCATACTAGGACGAAACGGCCGTCCAGTGATTCCAGGTTTCTAATGGTGGTCTAACAATGATGATTGATTAACGATTTCAAATCTATTTCATTACTTTTCTATTCTGATTAGTTGTTTGACACATTGAATTACGATGATAAATACACTTTCAAATTTATGAAAATTATTATTGTTTGGTTTGTAAATTTTAGACAACTGCTTCCTCACCATTACCATCTTCAATAAGAGCAACAGTTATGGGCACTGGTCATCATCGTGATCATTTTTCCGACACTGAAAACTGTAATAAACTTGTTTTACAGCCACCAAGTCCAGATATCACGAAAGAGTCTTTGTCGAATAAGAAGAATAATAACCGAAACAGTGAAAGCTCCAGATCAATTATCAATATTCAACAGAAACAGGCTTCACAATCCTCTACCACAGTGCAAACTACATCTGCCAGACTTCTTAAACGTCGACCACGTGTTTGTGAACCTTCTGCCGTAGACTTGAATATTTCTGATTCTAGGATGATTACGGTAGGCTACTAAATACTAGTAATATACTATTTTCATAATATTTTCTTCTTCTTTAAATCGATACTAATGCATGTACCAATAAATAAAGGTAAGAATGCTGTAACTATACCATTTAGACAGTCTGAGTTTGAAGGTTATTTTCATTATGAGTGGACACTTGAATAAAGACTGAATATTTATTACTAAACGAATAACTTTCAATTAAAATGTTTTTTGTGTTACATGTTTGCTGAATTCTCATCATAACTTTCTAGTTTTATGATGTGAAATTTTGTTATATTTTACTTTATTTTACTTTACGTCCCTGATATTTCTCTTCTTTCTATAGCCTTGAGGCATTATTCGGGGCAGTGAAAGACATTGTCTTTTGAAAGTGATGCAAAATGGTATTTTCAGTCACGAAAACAAATCATTTTCATGAAAATGAAATAAAGAAATGCTTTATATAAACTGTAACAACTAGGAAGAACTATATGTTTGAATTCTGGTTATCACTGTGCAACAGAATTTCTTAGATCAACTTAGATAAGATAGGTTTCAAACCCGTTATTCGATACTCAAAATAATTATGGTTTAATGCATTTGGTCATAAACTTTGCCCAGTGAAACAAAGACTTAATATTTTCAAATGTACCAATCATTTACAAAACTATTTATCATTGAAATCAAAAGAATCTGAAACAGATTCAAAGTTTCTATCAGGAACACACCTCGCTAGTTTAATAATTTACCATCTCGTCTTTATAGGTCTAGCTGTTATCAGTCTGTTAAGACTGTGAAGTATTGAAACTAAGATTTTATTATCACTATTACTATTGTTTCTCATTTTCAGTCAGCTTATGAATTTGAATCTACACAATCTGAAGGAAATCTGAAGGAAAATTTATTGAAATTTGAGGAACCTTTCATTATTCCTCATTCTAACCCCAACCAAAATGTTTCCAGTAATCCGAAAGCCTGTTGGTTTCGTTTACATGATGGATATTCAGCGGAAGCTAACTATGATTCCGGTGAACATCCCCAGCATGATCAGTTCAAGATTAATATTAGAAATCAACCCGCTGTTTTTAAACGGCCAGATAAAGTTGCAAATGAGTGTGACAGTTGTGATTATGATAATATATCAAATTTACCATCAAAGTGTGTTTTGCCGTCCACATTTAGATTGGGAAATACTTCAGTTGTTAAGAAATTATTTGGACCAAAATCGCAATATGCAACTTACACACAAGGTGTAAGTGGACTTTTTCAGTCTAAGGAAAAGTGTCTACCACAGCAACCAACAAAATCATTGACACCATCACAACAATTACATCAGCAAGAAAACAAACCCAAATCCTTGTCAACTTTACAACCGGTTCCAGTTGAACAGAAGGTATTTCATCAATCTTCTGGCAATACTAAAAGTAAGAATTTTTTATTATTTATTATCAATAAAATACACTAGACTGGGTTTTATACTGCACTATCAGTTACTGAAAATTGGATTGGGGAATAATTGTAGTTTCAAACTATCAAGTTGGCATTTTTATCCGACAACTGCAACCGATAGAAGCAGAAACAGAGTATCACTCCGTAAAATGTATTAAGTTATAAGTATTTCTCATTTTCGGAAACTTCTGTTCAGTGTCGATTTCTACTTTTGGTTTCTCGATCGTACTTGGTCCATTTGAATTATATTTCCCACGCTTAGATCTCTACTTTAATGGATATCAGTACGTTCACGGTGTTATTTATCTGTGCTGCTCAAGTTACTTTTTTTTTAATACCGACAAAAGATGTGCTAAAACGAATCTATATTCATCTGTATTAGGTCGTATATCGTTTGTGACTAGCTCAATAAGTCAATTGGAAAGAATGTTATTATTATTATTATTATTATTTTCATCTCGTTTTTGGGTAAATCACTGTATATCAATAGATAATGTTATATGTTAATGCTAACAATTCATGTTATTTACCCAATGCTTAACTCACTAACAAATATTTCAGTATGCATCAACAAACCGCCCAAACATTCAGAAATTATTATTCAGCATCATGAGACATAATTGAGAAGAAATCTAACAGTAATTGAGATAAGAGCACAATTCAATAGTTGGTCGTTATTCCGCATAATACAGTACAATAATGCGATAATTCAACCTGGGCACAAAATCAGTACACTAGAAATAGGAGTAACAAACCATTGTACTAGATCTAAGGTATGCACATACATAATTTATAAATGATACAATTAAGAAATACATTAAACTAGATAATTTACAGACACAATGACAAGCAGTTCACATACTTTGAAACCTTGAGTAGAAGTTAATATTGGTGCCTTTATAACTCACTTTAAGTATAATACAGGATCACACAAATTCGAAATTTTGGAACTTTTGTTCAAGGTATTTTCTAAAATCCCTAAATCCAAACATTGAAATAACTGGTAATGACAAAATGTATTTATCGAATTAAAACTGATACTATATTTACTTTAAATAAACTTATTGTATGACTTTTGATAACTGATTGATTGATAATGGCTAAACTCTTGGCGCCTAAACTACGGAAATAATGATTTTTCGTTAAAGCTGTTTTCTTTCTGCATTACATAATACTTTTTTAGTTACAATTCTCAATCATCTTAAAACTAACTACCTGATATAAAGTTAAGTCGGTATAGAAAAGTAAGTAAAAGGCAGAACTTTTTAAGACTTCTAAATGAGGTTCCAGAGGTAAAATGGTCATAATAACACAGTCAGTAAATCATATTTCACTCACTTGTGAATCTAACATAAACAACCGAAGAATGATATTAAATCGTTAGAATGACAATTGCATTTTTATTTTAGTAAATTGACTGCCTTTTTCTTCATGTTTAATAAATTTTCTTATGAAGCAATTACTAAACTTAAAAAACAAAGCGACTCTTACATATTTCTAACCAGAAAATAAAAAAACGATCTCCTAGTGACTTATTGATTAATGAATTCATTAACTAATTAAGATGAAAGGAAAAAAACGAAACGTAGTTAAATCAATGTCATTGCATTCCATTAGTCATTTGATGATGATGATATATAAATATATATATATATATATATATATATATATATATATATATAAACCTAATTTTATTTTAACTAACATGATTCTTTTCATATATCACAACAAAATCAACCATAAAACAATGAAGTGAGATATTATTTGCTGAGAAAATACCGTCACTATTCAATCAAGTAGTTAATTTGTTATAAAATGAGTTAATGACTACATATGATAAAAATTAGTCTTGTTTAACACAATACAATTAACTATATTATTTATTCGGATGATGAAGGTAATTCTGAGAATAACTCCCAGTATTTAATTACCATTCACTTCAGTCGGAGATCATTTTGTATTTTCTTAGAATGCATTATGTATTTAGGAAGGAGTTAAGCTCTTTCACCTTTTCATTCTAACCTTACTGAATTATTTTGATGAATATTTACAAATCGATCAATCGATCATTGTAAGATCTGAAAATTATAATCAATTTAAGAAAAAATCTGTAAATAAAAGTAACTTACTACTTTTCTAATTATAATTAGGCACAGTTTTTCTGCCTTAGAACTATATCTAATATTCATGTCATGAATGCTTGTATAGTATTTCAACTATACTATCAGTTACATAGTTTAGTGATGATTTACTCAACAGTATAGTATCCAGCGACTTATATTCATATGTTTTACGCAAAAAGACAGTCTTTAAAGCTTCACATCTGTCCCACTGACAAATTTTTCTCCATGAAACACATCAGTTTAAACTTGATTTTGAGTACACAAATAGTTTCTGTTAACTGATTGTTTAATGTCAATCAGTTACAATCACACCAAGATGAATGTATATTAACCCGACCTTCTATATTTTATTGCTACAAGATAATAAACTGTCAAGATAAAATCAAAGAAGTCAAAACAACAGAATCAACAACAAAAGTAATAAATAACTAACAGAAGAGAACAATGTTTGAGGAGAACAAATTCAACAAGTGAAAAATATCGTTAATACTCAAGATATGTTGTATATGAGAAATAACGGCATAAACATGATTACCACTATCGTTGATTTTGAGGCATACTAACTAGTGTGTTTAACTTTTAACTACGACTGCCTCTTGCACCTTAGGCATGAAATCTTTACCTCCGAACACAACCCATTTTGACAATTATCGACTACAAAAACTGATCTTAGATTTTGGTTTGTCAGCAGCATTTGGTTTTATTTCAACCTACTCAGCGTTTCACTTTGTTTACTATATCTTCTAATCACTTTATTTTGGACACTATGTTCTGATTGGTAAATAAAACTTTAAAATTAAACTCTGTCACTGAGATCCTGATACAAAAAAATTATTATTATATACTCTGACAATAGTGTTTTGATCCGTCTTTTGAACTGTCTTATGTAACATGGATTAATTGTAAAGAGTTAAAACATCAGGAAAATCCATCATCATATATAATTAGACTGATGACATTAAGTTCTAATTTCAGTCAGCTGATAAACTAACCAAATCAAGTTCCTTTCTATGAGAAATATTAGAAGGTCTAAGCTCGCAGGTATAAAGCAATTTCAGATTACTTTCAGATAATCAAAATTATTTTCAATGAACAGTCATAGCTTCTATGGTTAACTAACATAATGTTAAGATTAAATTAATCAGATAACATTAAGGTTTAACTGTACATTATTGTGTACTACTAGGAAAGAAAATATCATCAAATCACTGATTTTCAGAATTGTTTAATTTGTTTGTCAAATAATTCATCAACCTTGTCATGAATATCTTGTAAGCAATTTTAGAGTAGTTACAAATTAAATGTTACAAAATAAATCATTATTTTAATACTTTTTTTTTAATTGGCAAAGTTCCTTCTAATTTTGAAAAGGTACACTTTCTACTGTTTTCACAATGTTAAATGAGCATCAAACTAGTGATTGTCAATGAGAGAAAAAAAACATTGATATTGTGTAAGAAAAAGGGAAATTGATATTTCGAAAAATACATAGCTGTTTTTAACTTCATACAATGTAGAAAAAATACATGTGCAGAAGCTTTCAAAAGAGCAGACATAGTGTTTGTGTTAAATAATATTCTCACATAATATAATCAAAAGTAGAATTATTAAAACGTCAAAAGCAATAAAGGCTGAAATCAATGATTAACTCCGTTTACATAATGGAATTGTAACTATGAGAACTAACTGAAACATTTATTCTTAAGTATATGGAAGAAATATAAAATTCCGAAGATTTTTATTGAATAATACGCAGATGATATAAGTTGATAAATCAGTCTCGGTAATGATTTAATTCTGGCATCACAAACATGCAGATTCACTAAAGAACGTTTACATCTTGAGTTTGGGCGATGCAAAAGCAGTTACGAAATAAATGTGTATATTTACATAAGCTTGACTAGTAAAATTCACTAGAAGATTACCCTTAACGCAGTTAACAGCGAAAAGTGTAGATAATATTTATTTTTGAAACATTGTGTAATATGTAAATGGAAGACATAAGCAAATTAAACAAAAACCAGATATTTCAGTGAACAATAATTTTATATGCTTTCCATTCTTATTCAGTGTATTTTAATTGATAGTACCTGTTGTATCGATATATATTCACAACAAAGTATTATCTAATAGAATGCCAAGTTACGTCATTGCTCAATTTAAGGTTATTAAGGAGGAAAAATAAAGGATATTATCATGAAGATGTATTTTATATTACACTATCGGAAACATTTTACAATGACCAACATTGAAAATCTGGGATCACTAGAGTTCTAGTATGGGACCGACTAGTGGATTCGGCTTTGAGGCAGTTACCCTCCCAACACAATGAATGAGGTCACGCAATATCATGAATTGATTCAAGTTAGACATTAACACTGTTGGATGCTTGTTCAGTGGTCAAGAGTTTAAACGTTCGCACGTGAGACCAGAGATCCTGGGTCCGATTCCCACGTGCTGGAGTCGTGGATGCTAATTACTGATGAGTCCCATACTAGGATGGAATGGTCGCTCAGAACTTACACACTTCTGATGGTGATCTAACACTGATCGGTTCATGATTTCAACGAAACCTAACAATCTTCATAACAATATGATGAAAAATATTTTTCTTAAATATGTGGATAATCTTACGGCATGCAAGCATTGTTTCTCTTTCAATGTAATTATGGCGGGATTGTATAATGAGACGTTTATAATGTATATATGGAAATCGTGATGAATAAACTAATGGCTGTTGTGTGATATTTTTTGGCTAAATGTTATTGTTGGTATCAGTATGATCTAACAGTAACTAGGAGTGGGATTCAAGATACATATTCCTTTGTTTCTGGAACTCATGAACCCAATATATTTGCATTTCTTTGGGTTCTTTCAAAAAGCATAGACTCAGACTAATTACTTTCGGCATTAGGTTTAAAGAACCATTGAAAAATGGATTTAATTTCTGAGATAATTTCATAAAAACCTAAAGGTATCAAGAATCTCACGAATGTGCCAGACATTTTGAAGCAAATTTGTGGTTGGTTACAGCTCAGCAATCGATTTATCCGATATTTAGCTTTTTTACGATCACATGGAAAACTTTTGAAAATGTTATTCATCATTACTTCATCTGTGTACTGAATAAGAAGTTCAATGATAAATTTATCCTAGTTAGTGTACATATTCTTATAATTTTAAATAAATTGATTAACTAATGGTCAGCAAACAGTAACACTCAATAGAAATATTATGGGAAATGAATAAATTACTTATTATAGTTTTTAATATTGATATTTACTGTCATAGGTTTGTCAACAAGACGGTCATCACAATGGACATGTCTCTGATGATCCACTTTATAACTTACCCTAGTAATCTTCATTACCATGCATGAATACCTTGCATAGATCTTGTTTTTTGGTGTGTGAAACACACTGCTTATAACAGGTGAGCAGTAATATATGACGGTAGCTAAGGAATTCTAGCATATTGTTATCCCTATGTGTGGAGTTTCTTGTGCAATAAATTTTAGTTCTACTTTCTTTTTATAAACAAGTCTTTATTCGAGTCACAATTGCTTTCAATGAATTATAATTAAATAAATAATACTACAACTTTGTAACTAGTCACATGTTTATAAACCTAATTTTAAGTGTTTTTTACGTGAAATATTTAAATGTATTACTCAACCGTTAAAAGCATGTGGTATCCGAGGTTGGACTCTACATTAACAGCTGGAATCCAAGTAGAAACCTTACTGAATAATTTAATATTATGTTTGCAGTAATCATGATAAAAATCAATAGAAACGATCTCAATGAAATTCCTTCTCTACAGTGAAGCACCGTTCATTAAGCTTTTCGTTTGTTTGTTTCCAAGTTTTGCTTGTGTAGCACAATGTTTTAGTACTTCTCTAGCATCTTTTCATCATACTCGAGCAACTTTCTTATTACCATAGTGAAACGTTAGAGTAATCATTTCTAACGAGTGTAATACCCAGTTTCTCTGACCGGATATTCTGGATAGAGTAGTAGTATTTCGATAAGCTGCTGCATCACTATATCAGTGATCAGACTAGGAGCCAAGTGCCTAGGTGCCTTTCAGTCGAGAAACTAACTTTATTTTTAAAACTACCACAGCTAAATGTTGATTGAGTTTCAAAACTGTAAATCTTGCTATACAATCTGACTAATGACCTTTTAGAACTTTCTTGCACAATTAAGACATTATTAAGCGATTAATTTTATAGTAATTAACTTCATGAAAATAATCGTTCTAAACTGAAACTCCTTTCAACCCGCTCACTCACTTAAAAAGAACAAAGCTATTTAGTCAATGGAACTACAAAATTATTATCTATCTAGATGAAAGCTCCGGTTGAGTATGGATAGTCTTCTTAAAGTGAAATCACAATTTTTCCTTGCTATATATGAAAACTAGCTCAGGTTAGCATTTTGTGAATTTTCTCTCTCGAATGTTATTTTGTTTTCAAATTTTAAAGGAAAACCTGAAATACCGTCCGCGTTGTCAATCGAAGAAGAGCGGTTAATTAAATCTCTTGAGCGTTTAAACAGACGATTGAATGGTAAGCTACTTTATAACAGTGCCTTACTTATTAGGTTCCTATAAACCTATTTAAACAAATTCATAAAGTTACATATATGTTGCGATTTTTCATCTCCTCAATTATCGAACCGAATGACCGCGTAAAAGCATAGTCAGATGAAGTTAGCTGCGTTCCTCTAAGTTTTTAGTTTATCTACAGTATGGAAACCTGACTTCGCAATAAAAGGATATTACCATCCATAAGACAAAAATAGAAATGTATGGGTAGCTATCACCAACTTCACTTTTATAAACCCTTTTTATCTGGATAAACGAGATTACACTTTTAATGCATCGCCACATAAAAACCACTTTTATTAACTCCTATACAGATGTTAGCATTATGAGACTCAATACTCAGGTTCAGAAGAGGCTATAAACTTACGAACTACCCCTTTGTTTGAGTGTTAGTGACACTACCCGGTTCCTCAAACCTGATTAAGCTGGGCAGAGTGATCTATCAGCATTACATGAAGAGTTTTGATAAGCCACCGAATCACTATTTCAGTGCTCGGAATAGGACTGAAAAAACCAAGTGATGACAAGAAGCTACTTATCATCTGCTTCAACCGCTTATCCGAAACTTATTTTCACTTGTACAATACGAAAGTAAATATTTATGGCTTTATGTGCGCTTGAAAACAAGTTGCGGCCGTTGGATTTTAGTTATTTATTGATAAAAAAGAAAATACTATTGTACCACAATTCCTATTTCCTTAATCTGATCTACGCAATCAGTAATTAGCAATACTGTACTATTTACGTCCAATAAGGCTACTAATGCCCCACCGACTTCTTTTTTTTACATATAATGTATACCATAAGGATATGCAAACAAACATGTCGCTTACTACTGTTATTTCGTCTTCGGGCCGCATTTCACTTGTAATTAAGAGAAAACTACCTACAGCATAGTTGTTAATTTAATCATTATACGCGGTAGCGAGTAAAGGAATTTCCATCCACACACTTCCCGCGCCATGACACCATGCAGTAAAATGACTACCATGTCAACGCAGGAATTATTTGCTGTAAATGCGTGTATGATTACACAAATCAATGAAGCTAGTTGTATGATAATTCATGATACATCTGTATTACTGTCGTACTTACAGAATGGTCGGCCAAGCTTTAACCAGCTAGATGAAGATAGCAAAACTGAAGATGGTAATATTTGATTTTTTCGAAATAAGTTTTTTCTAGATAAACGATCACGTCTCAGAATATCCTGATAGTACTTCATATGTTGGTGGTACAAACTATATACTCGACAGTTATTCACCGAGAAGTGAGAATATCGAAAAGATCGTTTGCATTGAACTAAACTGGTGTTTCAGATATCAGTTCTTAGTAAATAGTGTTCACCTGTTAGCTAAGAATGAACGTGGTTGTCAGCTATTCGACAGAAAATGGCGAGCACTTATCACACAGCCGGAAAATTTGTAACCCACCTTCAGAAAACCTGAGCAACAGTTTTGACCTAAAACGAGTTTTTGATGTCCGGAATGAATAACTACAATTTCGGTCGGAATAGCGCTCAAAACCTAAGCATTTGTTACGAATAAGACTCATAAGCATCTGTACCACAGTGATGGATAACCGCTCGTTAGTTGTTCGAATGGCTGAAATAGCACTCCCAGTTGAAAATATCTAAACTGTTTCAGCGAAACAGTTCCCAGGGTTTTTCTACAAAATTTTGTGATAGTTCACTTCAGTGTGGAATCGAACACCCCAGATGCGTATGACAGTGGTACATGTGAGGTTGCTTGTTGTATAATAAAAAGTAAACATGGGTTAATGACCGAATTTGGAACACACCGCAGTTCTAGTTGTCTGGCTGACGAACTATGAACTCCTTAGCAACATGGATTCCTAGTTGATGCTTATCTAACTTAGTAACCGAGAGGATTGGACAACAGCTCGAGATAATGGCTTATCTATCAAGGGTTTCAAAAAGTTCATTTGATATAGTTTCTCATTTAATGTTTTCACTGAAGCTCTTGAGCTATAGAATGACAGTTGCAGTGCAAAGTGGGATCGAAAGGGAAGGGGAAGAAGGACTTTGTTTTGAAGAGTTATGAAGTCTCATGATGAAAGCCGAGTTTCTTCGCAAGTCACGAAGCCAATGGTTCTTCCAAAAACCATTAATTTAGGTACATGGAATGATCGCACATTTTGGGAGCCCGCGAGAGTTAACCAAGGTGCTGCAGAGTTGAAAAGATGCAACCTGGTTGTACCTGAAATCAGTGTAACACATTGGACGCGGGTTGGACAGCTTCAAGAGAAATGCTTCTGCCATGAAGAAGAAAACGTTGCACACAAGGATTTGTACTGATAATGTCCAAAGAAGCACTCAGTACACTTATAGGATGAGAATCTCAGGATCATCAAAGCCTCTTTCAAAACAAAGAGGGGATCACAACGAAGATCATTCGATGCTATGCGCTTACCAATTATAACAGTGAAGATGTTAAACAATAATTCTATTAGAGGTATCAATCAATTATAGGGAAATACCCAGCTAATGATTGGACCATTCTGATGGCGGAACTAAGTGTCAAAGTTGGAATGGACAACAATGATTACGACGACATCTTGAGACGACTTGTTGTGGGGGTAAGGAACGAAAACAGCAAGAGATTTGCAGATCTTTGTCTTTAACGAAATGGTTTTATGTAGCATAATATTCCCACATAAATGCTTACACAAAGCTATTCGGGTTCCACCGAACCTCACTGCTGAGAGATAAATCGATCATATTTACGTTACTAGAACATTCAGAAGGATAAAGGAGTATGTAAAAACAAGTAGAGGAGCTGACACAGTTTCACATTACCAATGGAACAAAATAAAGCTGAAACTGGGCAAGCAGTGGAAAATCGGGTAATCAACATCAAGAAAGTTTAACACAGCCTTTCTTCGCGATACTGATAAACTCAGAGATGAAATGGAGATTACCATGGAGAACAACTGGAAAGCGATCAGAGAAGCAATAACTTCAGGATATCTTGAGGTTCTGGGACACGAAACAATCACAGAGAAGGACTTGTGAATCGATCGTCCCCATTGAACTCAGACAGCATCGAAGCAGCACAGACAAACCTCTAATTATTGTTGAACTACTAGCAGCTGAAGCGTTCAGTGTGGTCATCCTGCAAATCAACAGCAGCAGCTCAGCAGGACTAGACAGTATTTCAGCTGAGGCACTGAATGCAAATTAAATGCAAGGTGATCCACGACCTCCCAAGTAGGATTTCGGAGGATGGACGATTTCCGATAGACTGGAAAGAAGGATACCCAATAAAGATACCAAAGAAAGGCTATCTCAGCAAGTGTGAGCATGACAGAAGCATCACTATCCTTCGGTAGCTAGAACATTTTTCTACAGAGTGCTAATTAACAGAATAAAACCCTTATAGACGCCCAACTTCCAGATTAAGAAGCTGGATTCTGTAAGGATCAATCGTGAACCAATCAAATTGAAAAAGTATGGATGATTGTGTGACAACCAATTAAATGGGATTCATCACTCTACGTCAGCTTCGTTGAGTAAAAGAAAGCATTCAACAGAGCGGACAGGACGACGTTGCAAATGCTTCTGTGACACTATGACGTAGTTGAGAAGATAGCCAATATCATACGGAATTCTTAGGGCGGGTTAAACTGCGAAATCGTGCATAAAGGATAGCCGATGTCAGGAAGGGTTGCTTACACTCATCCTTTCCCTTTCTTCTTGTGACTGATAGGATTTTAGCGATGTCTATATCTCAGTGGAATCACAGAATACACTGAGAAGCTGGGTGGTCTGAGCTTAGAAGATGACTTAGCCAATTTATCCCACGCACAACAACAAATGCTGGAGAAGACGGCCACTGTAGCAGCAGCCTCAGCAGGAGTAGGTCCCAACGTTAAGCTTGTCGATAACGCTCTCCTTCGAAAGACTTATTATTTGATGCCCCTTATATTTTATTAGCCACACAGCTTAACGATTGTTCTAAACAAGGTTTTTATTAGTTTATGAATTGAACTAATCTACTTTTTATTTCTAGATATACTCATTCGCCAATAGTGATAAACCATGTCTGAGCTGAAATTCTCAATAGACTACAACTTGGTAACACCAATTAAATATACAACTGTATAGTAATGCACGTGTTATGCTTATTTGCACTGGTCAGGTATATAAATAACTAAACTTTTCAAGTTTATCCGACGTTAATTTTACTTAACCATGAAGCTAAACCTCTTCCTTAACTGATAAAAAGAACATTGCACTAGTTTGTGGCTAGGAGAATTCACATATATGCAAAATAATGAATTTGAAGGATAACTAAGAGCCTTTATTCAAACCGGCAGATCAGAGACACAATGTAGTATGAGATAAGGGACATCCTAACATGGCAGGATATTTTGGCCAGATATCTGATGAATACGTGACTCAAGATCACACGGGAAAATATTTCCTGCTGGGCGACATCATCAAGTATGCACATAATAGTACAGCTTTCGAGAACTGCAAATGAACCTTAACTTTTTGACTGATATGTAGACAAGGATAAGCGATAACAACGTAGGGTCGAAACTAGGAAATCAGACCAAATGATTAGCTTTGACGAAGATACAACTGCGAATAATTCGGTCAAAGTTTATCCTTAAGTGCATAAGCGGTTCCGCGACTTAAGCAACCGATAGATTGGGCACTTCATGAAACAAGGTAATCGAACACGTCTGAATCTATAAACCATGAACGCAAAGTTGATCGTATACATTTGTGCAGATCAATACGATGTAATCGACAGGTGAGTTCCAGGAACAACTTAAATTAATAAAACGATAAATAATGAGAATATACAGTTTATTGATAGCTCTCAGTAGGAAGTTATTCACTTTCACTTGTCGATAATTCTTCAGTTTCCATATCATGTCTGAAATAAAAGGAAAGGTACTAATAAGATGCAGCTAAAGTGTGAGAAAACTTTCAGGTAAATATGTCATCAATTTAAACAGACATATGCTTGATCATCATACAGTTACTTACCCAGCCACCGAGATTGAACTGTGTCTGAAATGAAAAAAAGTTTTGGTTGAATTTGGTAAAAGTGGGAAATAATGTTACATTCAGATATAAGCGTCATCAAGTAGAACAGACATATGCTTGATCATCATAGCAAAAACTTAAAAAAGAACGCACCTTGTTATCTCATCGTCACTCGATTCGGGAGTATTCGACGCTTTGATCCGTCGTCTGTCAAGAGTATAATTAAGAAATATAAGCTTACGTTGCACTATCAACAGATTCATCCATTTCCACTTTTGTTTTGAGTCTGAAAGAATACGCTGATTGAAGAACTTGACACTTACCCAGCAGAGTTCGGAGTATTCGGTGCATTGCCGGGTTTTGCGAACTTCTTCAGCAAACCTTGGGCGACAAGTTTTTTACGTTCCATCGAAACAGGACCACGTCCCCACTGACGAGGGTAAAGATCGCGTTCCATTATGACTCTTTTCAGCTTTGCGACCAGACCATGATCGCACGTCGCAATTGTGGCGGTAGTCATCAATGCAACAGCTTGGAGTTATTGTCAGTCTACAATGACTTACCAAGAGCTACGGCTTCGCCTTTGGTAGTCATCAGGACTATTTCATCGTTGACATTGATGTCGTTGTCGTAGCGAAGTACGCCAGGCAACATTAGTTTAGCACCAAAGCAAATTGCGCACACCTAATTGACAATCCTATTATACTATGTGACTTACAGCTGTATCTTTGAGCATGATCCTTTTGTGTTTGATCAGAAGTTTCTCAAGAGGCATGATCACACGACGCAAGTAAGTCTCATCTCGCCTATTATCATAGAGCCATTTAGCATCTAGAATGTCATGCATTGTGACAAGGTTGTCCTACAGTAAGAAAGAAGTATAATTGACAAACCTTTTCAGACATGAAACCTGTTTTCGACCGCCTAAGTTCCTCCATCACACCGCCACAACCTAGAAGTAAGCCCAAATGCACACAGAGTGTCCGAACATACGTTCCGGCCTCACATCGAACCATGATTAATCCTAAATTCAACCACTACGATCAATGGACTTACCTAAATTCCTACTTTTCTCATACTCTAGTAATTTGCATTCATATATTGTTCGTACTCGAAGTTGTCGTTTTACAGCAGCAACTAGTGGGGGTCTCTGAAACAGCGCTCCAGTCAGTCCTTCTACGGCCTAGGTTTAATCCACATGAAACAAATCAGCCTTGCGTCGAACGTGATGCACACATGCGCGCAGGAAACGTGATAATAACTTACTTTCTGTATTTTCTTAATGTCATCCACAGATTCGTGCAACCTGAATATACATATGTACTCTTTGCCTGCACTTTGCTGAGATTTCACTAGCCTAGTTGCTCGATCGATACAGACGATGAGGCAACCTGAGATATTAAGAGTCAAGTTTTCGTACCAGAAACCTTGGGGTCTAGAGTGCCACTGTGACCAGTTTTGTTGACTCCAAGAGCTCTTTTAACCCAGGCAACAACTTCATGGGACGAAGGATTGCATGGTTTGTCAAGATTAATAACACCACTCCTTAAAAGTTATAGAGATGAATCAAACAAACTTGATGTATTCATCTAAAGGTCGGTGCAAAGGTGAGTAACCTGTTGTGTCAGCCTCGAAATGACACTCGCGCACATTCATCAGGTGAACATTCTATAGATGGGAATAAAAAATTAAAGTCACTTGCTTTTAACAACAATGGCCATTGACTGCAATCCAAAGTAGGTTTCTTGTCTTCCGAAGTAACCGCGAAGCTTTCAGTTGCCTGAATAGTCTAATTGAAGTCGACAATTAAGAGAAACAACATACCTCAACATCACCAGCCCTAACCTTGTGTTTCTTCATGCTCTGTCACGCTAACTGAACAATCACGCTGACTAAGAAATCACGCTCCCAAGGTCTAACAAATTCACGTAAACATTTAAACAACTTTTTGATGTCAGTTCCAAAAACGCTTTCTGATTCATAATCATAACATTTTTACTACTGAAACTACCTTTAATGTATTTCTGAATAAGTTCACATATGATTCTCTCAACAGAGGCAATATTTTATATCATGTATGACTAGGAGTGTAACATATGTTTTCTCATCGATGTAGATAGATTTTTGCCTGTTCACTTATAAAAATGGTATACACAAAATGTGTGGCGATTTGATATTGGACACATTTGGACTTTTTCGTAAACTGGCCTCACTGCGGTTATCTAAAGGATGTTGTCTTAACACAACGAGTCTTCCAGATGAGGCCTTGGAGCTTCTAACCCTAATTACGTAGTTATCGAGAGACGATAACTACATAAAGGAATGGATTTGTCTGAAAGTCGAAACTTAAAACGCAAATAGAAATAAGCCTTGTAGTTATTGGGAAGAAACGGAAACCTGATTGAATGCTGTAAATGAGACTTTAAGAGGATGTAAAATGGTCCCTAGTTTGATTATTTGGAATCTCCAGTAGATGGAATCTCCCATCAGAAATATTTTCCCGGATAGGATTTTAGGAGTTCATATTACTAATGTCAGAGTGCTGGAGGCGAAAACCAATGCAAGGTTACCTTCAGGCAAGTTCTTGTGAATAACGAGGAAGGGGGTGTGATATTAAATAAAGGACACAAAACTAGTGCTTCAAATGTTCCATATCGACCTGACGAGTGACTGACATACCGAACTAAATAGAAGAATGCTGTTACTGAGTTAAAAACTCGGAAGCAAAATAACGGAACAAACTTTGGTATCCAAGGTTTTTGGGTGATCATGTTTGGAAATCAACTTTGTCGAAACCTGTTTCTGTGGAACACCCGATGTATTAGCCATGCAGACGCTCATTTTTGATGATAAGACGTCTGGGCCACGTTAAATGATGGACGAATGAAGTTCAGAACTAATCATTTTCATGGAAATTTCTTACGATATAGATGCTAACATTTTACCAATCATAGCCAGATGCATCTGTAATAAAAATGATAGGGTCATAAGTCACAAGAGAGGCTTAATTTTTTTGTGATAGTTCACTTCAGTGTGGAATCGAACACCCCAGATGCGTATGACAGTGGTACATGTGAGGTTGCTTGTTGTATAATAAAAAGTAAACATGGGTTAATGACCGAATTTGGAACACACCGCAGTTCTAGTTGTCTGGCTGACGAACTATGAACTCCTTAGCAACATGGATTCCTAGTTGATGCTTATCTAACTTAGTAACCGAGAGGATTGGACAACAGCTCGAGATAATGGCTTATCTATCAAGGGTTTCAAAAAGTTCATTTGATATAGTTTCTCATTTAATGTTTTCACTGAAGCTCTTGAGCTATAGAATGACAGTTGCAGTGCAAAGTGGGATCGAAAGGGAAGGGGAAGAAGGACTTTGTTTTGAAGAGTTATGAAGTCTCATGATGAAAGCCGAGTTTCTTCGCAAGTCACGAAGCCAATGGTTCTTCCAAAAACCATTAATTTAGGTACATGGAATGATCGCACATTTTGGGAGCCCGCGAGAGTTAACCAAGGTGCTGCAGAGTTGAAAAGATGCAACCTGGTTGTACCTGAAATCAGTGTAACACATTGGACGCGGGTTGGACAGCTTCAAGAGAAATGCTTCTGCCATGAAGAAGAAAACGTTGCACACAAGGATTTGTACTGATAATGTCCAAAGAAGCACTCAGTACACTTATAGGATGAGAATCTCAGGATCATCAAAGCCTCTTTCAAAACAAAGAGGGGATCACAACGAAGATCATTCGATGCTATGCGCTTACCAATTATAACAGTGAAGATGTTAAACAATAATTCTATTAGAGGTATCAATCAATTATAGGGAAATACCCAGCTAATGATTGGACCATTCTGATGGCGGAACTAAGTGTCAAAGTTGGAATGGACAACAATGATTACGACGACATCTTGAGACGACTTGTTGTGGGGGTAAGGAACGAAAACAGCAAGAGATTTGCAGATCTTTGTCTTTAACGAAATGGTTTTATGTAGCATAATATTCCCACATAAATGCTTACACAAAGCTATTCGGGTTCCACCGAACCTCACTGCTGAGAGATAAATCGATCATATTTACGTTACTAGAACATTCAGAAGGATAAAGGAGTATGTAAAAACAAGTAGAGGAGCTGACACAGTTTCACATTACCAATGGAACAAAATAAAGCTGAAACTGGGCAAGCAGTGGAAAATCGGGTAATCAACATCAAGAAAGTTTAACACAGCCTTTCTTCGCGATACTGATAAACTCAGAGATGAAATGGAGATTACCATGGAGAACAACTGGAAAGCGATCAGAGAAGCAATAACTTCAGGATATCTTGAGGTTCTGGGACACGAAACAATCACAGAGAAGGACTTGTGAATCGATCGTCCCCATTGAACTCAGACAGCATCGAAGCAGCACAGACAAACCTCTAATTATTGTTGAACTACTAGCAGCTGAAGCGTTCAGTGTGGTCATCCTGCAAATCAACAGCAGCAGCTCAGCAGGACTAGACAGTATTTCAGCTGAGGCACTGAATGCAAATTAAATGCAAGGTGATCCACGACCTCCCAAGTAGGATTTCGGAGGATGGACGATTTCCGATAGACTGGAAAGAAGGATACCCAATAAAGATACCAAAGAAAGGCTATCTCAGCAAGTGTGAGCATGACAGAAGCATCACTATCCTTCGGTAGCTAGAACATTTTTCTACAGAGTGCTAATTAACAGAATAAAACCCTTATAGACGCCCAACTTCCAGATTAAGAAGCTGGATTCTGTAAGGATCAATCGTGAACCAATCAAATTGAAAAAGTATGGATGATTGTGTGACAACCAATTAAATGGGATTCATCACTCTACGTCAGCTTCGTTGAGTAAAAGAAAGCATTCAACAGAGCGGACAGGACGACGTTGCAAATGCTTCTGTGACACTATGACGTAGTTGAGAAGATAGCCAATATCATACGGAATTCTTAGGGCGGGTTAAACTGCGAAATCGTGCATAAAGGATAGCCGATGTCAGGAAGGGTTGCTTACACTCATCCTTTCCCTTTCTTCTTGTGACTGATAGGATTTTAGCGATGTCTATATCTCAGTGGAATCACAGAATACACTGAGAAGCTGGGTGGTCTGAGCTTAGAAGATGACTTAGCCAATTTATCCCACGCACAACAACAAATGCTGGAGAAGACGGCCACTGTAGCAGCAGCCTCAGCAGGAGTAGGTCCCAACGTTAAGCTTGTCGATAACGCTCTCCTTCGAAAGACTTATTATTTGATGCCCCTTATATTTTATTAGCCACACAGCTTAACGATTGTTCTAAACAAGGTTTTTATTAGTTTATGAATTGAACTAATCTACTTTTTATTTCTAGATATACTCATTCGCCAATAGTGATAAACCATGTCTGAGCTGAAATTCTCAATAGACTACAACTTGGTAACACCAATTAAATATACAACTGT